GAAGACCCCCAATGAGATGGATCAACCGGGTGGCATCATTGATGGTGTCAAGTGTGGCAGTGGTGGTGGGGTTGGCCCAGGATCGGACACTGTTTCGTTCTGCTGTGCATGGGGTCTCTATGAGTCGGTTCCAACTCGATGGCACCTGACAACAACAACAACAAGGGTGCAGAAAGCTTGATAGTTCTTATTATGATCAGATTGTTCACTAGAAGCTTGAGCCACTTTGCAGTGCCAACATCAGCATCTAAAGTGAAATGAATCACTTTAAATCCAATATGATTTATGACTTAAATCTAATATGAGTAGTTGATTGTGGTAACCAGGCACCATCTAGTTCTTCTGGTCTCAGAGTTGTGGAGAGTGATGTTCACATGGCCCATTAGTACACTGGACTAATCGTTCCCAGATATCTTTGATTTTCATCACTCTTCTTTCTTCTAGACAGGAAGAGACGAATAGTTGTACCTTATATAGTTGCTCACAATCTTTTAGAACCCAGTAGCTACTCACCAAAGTAGGATGTAGAATATTGTCTTTGTGAACTGTTATGCCAATTGACCTTGGTATCCTCTGAGACTATTGTACTGAGCTCCAGACTCACTTACTCTTTCCCTCAAGTTTTTTCTTTATGTCTAAGAGGTTTTCATAACTTTACCCAGTGTATGCTTTACCACATTTATGGATATATTTGTAGCAAAGGCAAATATCCATGTACAAATATCCTTTGATTAGTGTTTTTGGCTTTGTTGATTCCTTACATTCCAGTTTTGATTTCAATAAATTCTCTATTATTTCCTCCTTTCTTTTGGAGTTTCTTCTGTTGTTCTATTTCTAAAGATGTTTTGTTTTTAAAAATCATTTCTTAATGTTTTTTTCAGTGAAAGTTTACATGGCAGTTGAGTTCCATTTAATAGTTTCTACAAAAGTTGTTCACTGATGTATGTTACATTTTCCACAATGCATGAACATTCTTATTTCAATTCTGGTTATTCAGTTTCCATTATTCTAGTTTCCCTGCCCCCTTACATTCTTACCTTTGTTGTAAAGTACTTATTGACAGTTTAGTCTCATGTATGTAATTTATAAAAGGAGCACAGTACTTATTGGTGATATTCATTATATTTTTAGCTAATTTGTTACTTAGATACAAGGTGATCTCAGGTTTGTTTTTTTTTTAAATGTTTTATTGTGAATTATGTGATAGTTTACATGGGAGAACATTAGTTTTATATTCATCCTATTGTATATCGTTTCATTGCCATGGTTACAATCCCCTCCATGTATCATCAACCAACCA